ACCCGGTCTGCATCCTGGTCACAGCCATACTTACCTGTCACTGCACCCACAGTCCTGCACCCAGCCTGCATCCTGATTGCCGCCATATCTGCCTGCTGCTGCACCTACGTTCCTGCATCTGCATCTGGCCTGCATCCGGATCTCCTGGGTCTTCAGCTACCTGCCGTCAGCTCCAGACCTACCCGGCACTCGTGCCACTCCAGGTTCTGCGCCCTCTGTTCCCAATATCGGGCTCCGAGCGGGAGTCGTAAGAGGACGCCTTCTCTCCACATCAGGCTCCCCAACCAGGTACGTGACACGCTATAACTTTTACGCAAACCAATCAATATACACTTACTGGGATTTATTTTTTACCAAAGAATAAATCTTGCAAAAAATAAAAAACCCAGTGGTGATCAAATACCACCAAAAGAAAGCTCTATTTGTGTGACAAAATGATCCTGTTTGCATATAGCATTGCATGACTGTGCAATCGCCAGTTAAAGTAGTTCAGTACCAAACTGCGAAAAATGGCCTGATCGTAAAATCAAGTGGTTAAATCTACATTTCTGCTTGAATTAATCAACTACACCCCACACCTGAAAGTAACTGGGGAGAAGATGTCCATGCTGGCAAGATGGATATCTCTTTGCTGGAGTGAAGTATTTGTGGACTTTCCGTAGGTTTTTTATAAGATTTTGGAGTGTGCCTGTTGGAATTTTTGCGCATTCAGCCAAACAGTGCATTTGTGAGGTCAGGTTTTAATACTGGGCAAGTAGACTTGGCCTGCAATCAACATTTTGATCCAACCCAAAGATATTCAAATAGATTGAGGTCAGGACCTGGTGCAGGGCACTCCAGTTCCTCCACATCATTAATCACTCATTAAACCTTGTCATGATGAAGCTGGCTTTATGCAGAGGGCCACAGTCATACTAGAACAGGAAGGGACTTTCCCAAAGTGTTGCCACAAAGTTGGAAGAGCACTGAAAACACCTGAACTCAATAATTTGTAGAGGTGTCCATATACTTAGCTATTTAGTCTACTTACCTCAGACATTCCTCAAGCTTTGCATCATCTCCTCCCCCCTCATCCTATCCTTCCAGATAACCCAATCCTGAATCTTTATTCCTAACACAAAAGTCAGGAGATGGACTAGGGCAGTGATGGCGAACCTTTTTGAGCCCAAGTGCCCAAAACTGCACCACAAAACCAACTTTTTTATTTCAAAGTGCCAACACTGCAATTAACCACTTGCCTACTGGGCACTTCTACCCCCTTCCTGCCCAGACCAATTTTTAGCTTTCAGTGCTGTTGCACTTGACAATGACAATTGTGCGGTCATGCAACACTCATTTTTTCACACTATAAATCACCACTGGGTGTTTTATTTTTTGCACTATAAATGAAAAAAGAGCAAAAAATTAAAAACATAAAAGTTTTTCTTGCTTCTATTATAAAATTTTGCAAACAGGTAATATTTCTTCTTTGATGTGCGTTGGTGAGGCTGCACTAATAGGCAGCACTGATGGGCATTGATGAGGCGGCACAGATAGGTAGCACTGATGAGGTGGCACTGGTGGGCATTGATGAGGAGGCACTGATGATGCACTGAGATGCAGCAATGATGGGCACTGATAAGCTGCACTGACTGATAGCACCAACTGGAGGCACTGACAGACGGCACTGATCGGTGGCACTGCTGGGCATCATTGATGGGTGGCACTGATGGGCAGCACTGATGGGCGACACTGCTGGGCACTGACAGGTGGCACTGCTGGGCAGCACTGACAGGTGGCACTGCTGGGCAGCACTAACAGGTGACACTGCTGGGCACTGATGGGTGACACTTCTGGGCACTGATGGATGACACTGCAAGCAGTTAATCTCACCTCTGGCAGTGTCGGTGTGGCTTGCAACCCAGCAGCTCATTCCCATCCACGCTGAATACATCGCCCCTGGCCCCGGAGCAGTGTGGGAGCCTCTTCCTCTCTTCCACGCCCATCCCCGGCTACATCACCCCTGGTGCCAGATCCGCATAGGAGCCTTTTCCTCTCGTCCACACCCCCACCCTGGCCCCAGAGACATGTGGGAGATGTAGTTTGATGGGGGTCCAGTGTAGACGAGATCTGGATGGCCGGTCAGTGTGTGTGTTCCGTGTGCGCTCATCTTCCTCTTCTTCCTGGCGTGCCCACTGAGATGGCTCTGCGTGCCATAGGTTCGCCATCACTGGACTAGGGTGTCATTCTAATAGCCATAGAAAAAGCAGGTTGAAGTGGGGGGGGGGGTGAAGGGGTGGCTTGCTCTGAGAAAATGTAATCAGGACCTGTGCTTTTATTCTACAATGCCTCTCAGCGTTGAAAATCTACTTTAAGAGTGTTCATTGCCTGAAAACTCTATAAATAAACCATTTCAGAAGTTAAGATATATATACGAGAAAGCAGATTATGAATAAACTAGGGACACCTAACATTACTAAGAAAGACATACGGATTCAGTTGCACAAAATGGCTTTCTCTACTTTTCTTAATGTGAGCAGTTGGTTCTCTCGAGGCCAGCTTTAAAGCATAATGGATGCAGTTTCGCTGACATTGCAATCAGTGGAATTTCAGCAAAGGGTTGTGCAACAGTGAACTAACATATTTTAGCCGTGCAGCCTCTTAGATATTGTAACAAAATGTTATTACAGCTTCCATAGAGAGGAGAGTTCTTAGACATATTTCTTCTTTTATGACGGCAGGCAGATAGGAAGGAGTATTGTTAGAAATACGTCTCTTTACCACAGCATAATGAAACACTGAGAAGCTTGGCTGCATTTCCATGTTATTTGGGATATGTTTATGTAGGCTCCAGCAGAAGGTATAATTCTGCCTTGGCAAACACCATCAGAAATAACAAGATTACTGATAGCGCATAGTGAAATTTAGGCATCAGGCTCGCCAAGATTAATCCCTACTATCACTATCATACTAAATCTGTTTCTCTTCTAAACAGCTTTGAAGATTAACCTAAAGTAGCTTTTTTATCACAACAATAAAAGATGAATTAACTGAGTATTTAAAGGAACAGGCAGTGAATACTAAGCTGAACCCAAAGAATGTTTCCTAGGTTTGGGCCCCCTGCACCTTTAAAATGCAGCATCGACTAATACGTCCACCAGATTCAATGGAGGATGGAAGGTTTAAAGCAGAACCAAAAGCAAATATAAAGTAACTATATACTTTAATTATGAATTCATTAAAAAATCATTACATGTGTTTATAAATGCTACTAATATAAATGCTAATTAGCCTCTTGGTATGGGTTCATCACTCAGATTGGAAGGGATCCCTTAGCTAATCAGGATCTTCCGCATACACATGCATTAACAAGGAATGTGCCAACAAAAGGAAAATGAAGAAAGATGACCTCACCGGTCTACTGCTGCTCTCCTATTGTATAATAACAATCTGAGTGCAAAGAGGTGACCAGGCTGTATTGCTAATGGCATTATGAAAAAGTGACGCCACCAAGTTGTTGTTCTGTCTGCCAGGGTGTCATGGCTTATAGAATACCCCTGCATCTGACTGCATGCAGGAGCTGTTTGGCTGACCATATTCCATACCTCCCAACTTTCTGAGATGGGAATGAGGGACACCTATAAGTAAAAGTATGTAGGCATAGGATACACCTCTTGCCATGCCCCCTTGAAGGAGAACTTTTTTAAAGACATGATTGGTTAAACCCACACAGTACCTTTTTTTACCACTACTATTCCTGTATATTTGCTTTTGTAATTTAGAAATGCAGCAATTTAGAATTTGGATTGGATCCTGCGGGGATTGTCGGCTTTCTTTACAACTTACCTTTTCTTGGAGCGGGTCCGGTGTCACCCCGTATAGGTTGCATGCCGACGACCCGGAACCGCTCCCAGAAAAGGTAAGTTGTAAAGAAAGCCGACGATCCCCGCAGGATGCATCGGATATGCAGATTGAGCATAATGGATCCGGTGGTTCTCGGGCTTACCTGGAGGATCGGTGAGTCCGAGAACCCATCTGAGGATTATGGCGGCTAGGCATAGAAATGAGTGAAGGAAAGATGGCTTCCACTCATCTCTATGTTATTATGTCACTTACAATTTCCGGCCTAATGTAAACAAGGCCATTTTTTAAAAGTATTAGATCAATGCTTTTTTTATCTAATGCTTTACATTGTAGAGAAGAGATCTGGGGTCTTATTGACCCCAGATCTCTCCATATAGACGACCTGTCATTTCTATCACAAGGGATGTTTACATTCCTTGTGATAGGAATAAAAGTGATACATTTTTATTTTCAAAAAAGGACAGTGTAAAAGAAAATTAAATAAATAACTAAATAAAATTTAAAGCACCCCCGTCCCCCCCATGCTCGCGCGCAGTGGTTAACCTAGGTCACGCCCACATATGTAAACGGTGTTCAAACTACACACTTGAGGTATCACTGTGAACGTCAGAGTGAGAGCCATATTTCTAGCTCTAGATCTCCTCTGTAACTCTACACTGGTAACTTGTAGAAATTTGTAAAGAGATTTTTAGCTACAGTAGTTTGGCGCCATTCCACAAGTGTGCACAATTTTAAAACATGATATGTTGGGTATCTATTTACTCGACATAACATCATCTTTCATATTTTACAAAAAATGTTTTAATATATTTAAATTTTTTACATTTTTTTAATTCATTAAAGTGTATTTTTTCCAAAAAAATTGTGTTTGAAAAATAGCTGAGCAGATACTGTGTGACATAAACAATTGCAGCAATCGCTATTTTAATCTCTAGGGCCTCTGCTGCAAAAAATATATACAGTATAGAATGTTTGGGGGTTCTAAGTAATTTTCTAGCAAAAAAAATAGATTTTTACATATATGAGAGAAATGTGAGAATTGGCTCGGTAAGGAAGTGGTTAAATTTGCGTTACATATAAAAGTTACTAACGTACAATCAATAGGTTTTTTTCAGCTGAAAAATGAACTGTTACTAATTTCTCATTGTTCCACTCACCTCAGTCTTCCTGGTGACACATTCCCCCTTGCCATAGCACTGTGGAGCTTCTGGGCTGCTGCCTTCTGGTGCACAGTCAGTGACTTTAACTACCACAACGAGACGTAAGGCCACAATGCACTTACTCACAGAATCGTTTACAAAACCTAAAATGAAAACAGGATTGTTATGGAATATCTGGGCTAAAAGATTCTTGACTATTACTTTTACAAATATATATATACAAAGGTGAGCAAAGGAATGTTGAGGTTTATGTACAAATGGATTTTGAAGCATGCTGAGGGGCTGAGAGTCAGCTGCCAGTTAGGCATCTGGGAGGATCCTGACATTATTGTCGGGATCTTTGCAGAGCCTGGACCAGCTCAGTGACATCAGCTGATAGCAAACTTTAGCCTGCTGTCGGATGAATCTGGGTCACACGAGTGCAGAACTATGTGCACTCCTGTGACCCATAGCAGACGTACGGCCAAAAAAGCTTTGGCCATACTACTCCTTTAAAGTGATCAGTAAAGGTAGGTTATGCTCCCTGTATGCATTGAAAAGTTAAATTTTTGTACAGTGTATGAAATGTACAAAAATCCAGGTCAATGTTGATTGGTCGATGGAAAAAGTATAAATAAATGGGTTAATGAAACAAGGCATTCCAAACTATATGTCAGTTGTTCAACTCAATTCAGGTGCCGGCTTGACTCACCATGCTACGTGAAATAACAAATTGAACCCCGCTGATTAAAAATGAAAAAAAAAAGACCTCCCTGCAAAAGAGGATATTAATGCTTACTTATCCTACCCCCCGAGCATCGGATCTGTACTCTCTTGAAGAGCTATGCTGTCTGAGTATTTTGCATCTGACACACTTACAAGTGTATTAGATTTCTGGTCCCCCACCGTGTGCTTTGGTTCTATCTATCGGCCTTTACATCATTACTGTGTCCTGTAGTGACATAGAGTGGCAGAAGTGTGTCGGACGCAGAAGATACTTTATACGGCTTAAGTCTTCAAGAGAACATAGATCCAAATCACAGGTGGAGAGATAGCTAAGTATCAGTAGTCTCATTTTACAGGAAAGTACTTTTTTTACTTTGTTTAGGAAGCAACAGAGAGTCACTAACAAAGAGCAGTATGACACAGTCAAAAGATTACAAAACAATTTCTAGCTTGAGACTCCAGCAGTCTGTGACTGAGCAGATAGTTTACAAATGAAAGTCAGTATGTCTACATTCCCAGGTAGAGAACACACTATAAAGATCACAACAAGGATGGTGACAGTGGAGGCATCTCTTGTATTTGATAACACTCTTCTACATAAGTCTATTATATGGAACCAAATTGGGTTCATAGGCTATTCATTGAAGGACAACACACTTTCTATGAAAAACCCTTGCTGCTTGTTCAGGTTTGCAGAAGGCCCTTTGGATGGTCCACTGTGCTTCAAGGTTTTGAAGGCCAAAGTGTAACTTGGTAAATGGAAACATAGTGTAGTAGCGAAGGACTGTGTCAGGGCTTGGAAAACATTATAATGTCACAAAATAAAATAATAAATCAACAGCAAAAAAGGACATAACATGCACAAAGAGTAAAATGACATCCTGTATTTGAATATAAGAATATACACAGTAAGCTTGCAGGTATCTACAGGTATGGGGAGTGATATGGCACAAATGGATAACTAGGGCTCTTAGACCATAACTGCATATGGGAATTCAGAAAATAAAAGTCTAAAAATGCCCAGAGAAGTCTGTGGTGTATAGTTCATAAACAGATCCTTATAGCTTGTGAGGATGAGTTTTCGCTGAATTCAGAACACCTTTATGCAGCACCTCCACGAAACTAAAAAAGACCTCTATAATGGTAGATAAATAATACAGCTGAGTGTGCAATCTGAGTGCAGTGGATGTTGTACATTTATTAAAAAATTACAAATGGCAACTCACATAAAATCAGTAAAAAATATGCTTATCATCTATCATAGGTCCAGCTCTCAGCAAAGGCAAGGCATCAGGGTATACACACAGGATTGACAGATATGGAACCTGTAACAGCTGAGAACACCAGGGGGCATCTGCATCTGTTAACCCTGTGTGTATGCCATGAGGCCTTACGTTTGCTGAGACCTGGACCTATGATCAATGATAAACATATTGTTACTGATTTTATGTGACTTGCCATTTGTTGTTTTTTAATGAATGTGCAATATCCACTCTACTGTGTTTTATCTTGCGTCTACAGATAACATCATTTCTCTAACCAGGCAGTGTTCAAATTTGTATCTTGAATAAACTACCCTCATAACATTGTCATTGAACATTGACATAATTGATTTTCTGGAAGCTCTGCCTGTTCAAATTTATACATGTTAAAGTGTTACTAAACCCAGGACCCTGTATTCACTATATCTGGTCTCCCACAGTGCACAGAACATGGAAATGCAATTATTTTAGTAAATATAAACTGCTAAATTCCTTTACTTATCAGCATTATATAGCAGTCTTGTAACGTCTATCAGTGTCCAACTAAGCACTGCTTAAAGCTTGTAGGAGGAGTTTTTATTCTTCTCTGACAGTCCTATGAGACTGCACAGCCCCTGACCCTCTGTCTGGACAGCACTGCCTGTGCTGATCACATGCACTCTCCAAGAAAAACAAACGCTCTAGCAATACACACCAAACTGAGCATGTGCATCTTACTCCCAAGGCTCTGTTCTATCAGCAGATTGATTGGGGGCAGCAGAAGAAAAGGAAGAATCAGAGAAGACAGGATCAAACATCTTTTTTTATACCATGCGGAGGATTAACCCCTTAGGTTCCACAGTGAGTATAATAAGCATGCTTTACTGCATATACAGACTGATTTTACTGTTGTGGGTTTAGTAACACTTTAAGTCATCATTGATATGAGACTATCATCAGTACTTATATTTATTTATATGCCCATTTTATTATATTGGACATACTACTAGGACAGCCTCAGGACAGGATGGAACTGCTCTTCTCAGTTATTTCAAAAAAACAGCAAGCATTTTAAAACAAATTTGTCTTTTAATTACACCATGGGATATTTTGAAGGTGGATGTACATTCAATATGTAATACACGTATATCTAAAATAAAAGATTTTATTGTAGTATCCCCCTATTTCTTTTTGTATCTAGATTTACTAGGTTTGGGATTTTCTGCAGGTTCACTGATAATAATTACATTGGAACTTTCCACTGGTTATCACATGAAGGTTGTTTTAAGAATTCTCTTCTGATTGATATAAAGTGCCTTGAAAAAGTATTCATACCGCTTGAAATTTTCCACATTTTGTCAAGTTACAACCAAAACCGTATTTTATTAGGATTTTATGTGATAGACCAACGCAACACAAAGTGGCAGATAACTGTGAAGAGAAAGGAAAATGATAAATGGTTTTCAAAATGTTTTAAAAATAAATATCGGCAAAGTGTGGCGAGCATTTGTATTCAGCCCTCTTTATTCTGATATTCCTAACTAAAATCTAGTGGAACCAATTGCCTTGAGAAGTCACCTAATTAGTTAATAGAGCCCACCTGTGTGTAATTTAATCTCAGTATAAATACAGCTGTTCTGTGAAGGCCCCAGAGGTTTGTTAGAGAACATTAGTGAACAAACAGCATCATGAAAGCCAAGGAACACACCAGACAGGTCAGGGATAAAGTTTTGGAGAGGTTTAAAGCAGAGTTAGGTTATAAAAAATATCTCAAGCTTTGAACATCTCACAGAGCACTGTTCAATTCATCATCCAAAAATGGAATGAGCATGGCACAACTGCAAACCTACCAAGACATGGCCGTCCACCTAAACTGACAGGCTGGGCAAGGAGAGCATTAATCAGAGAAGCAGCCAAGAAGCCAATGGTAACTCTGGAGGAGCTGCAGAGATCCACAGCTCAGGTGGGAGAATCTGTCCACAAGACAATTATTAGTCATGCACTCCACAAATCTGGCCTTTATGGAAGAGTGGCAAGAAGAAAGCCATAAGAAGTCCCGTTTGCAGTTTGTGAGAAGCCATGTGGGGGACACAGCAAACATGTGGAAGAAGGTGCTTTGGTCAGATGAGACCAAAATTGAACTTTTTGGCCTAAAAGCAAAATTCCATGTGTGGCAGAAAACTAACACTGCACATCACCCTGAACACACCATGCCCATCATGAAACATCGTGGTGGCAGCATCATGTTATGGGGATGCTTTTCTTCAGTAGAGGCAGGGAAGCAGGTCAGAGTTGATGGGAAGATGGATGGAGCCAAATACAGGGCAATCTTAGAAGAAAACCTGTTAGAGTCTGCAAAAGACTTGAGACTGGGGCAGAGGTTCACCTTCCAGCAGGACAATGACCCTAAACATACAGCCAGAGCTACAATGGAATGGTTTAGATCGAAGCATATTCATGTGTTAGAATGGCCCAGTCAAAGTCCAGACCTAAATCCAATTGAGAATATGTGGCAAGAGTTGAAAATTGCTGTTTTCAGATGCTCTCCATCCAATCTGACAGAGCTTGCGCTATATTGCAAAGAAGAATGGGCAAACACATCACTCTCTAGATGTGCAAAGATGGTAGAGACATACCCAAAAAGACTTGCAGGTGTAATTGCAGCGAAAGGTGGTTCTGCAAAGTATTGACTCAGGGGGGCTGAATACAAATGCACGCCACACTTTTCAGATATTTATTTGTAAAACATTTCTATTATATTTATTTGTTGAAAAGTTTGAAAACCATTTATCATTTTCCTTCTACTTCACAATTATGTGCCACTTTGTGTTGGTCTATCACATAAAATCCCAATAAAATACATTTATGTTTCTAGTTGTAACATAACAAAATGTGGAAAATTTCAAGGGGTATGAATACTTTTTCGCGGCAATATACATCCTGTACGTGGTATCATCAGACAATCAAAAGCGCTTGTCATATATAAGCTTTAGTGAGCAATACTGCTTAGATGTGTATTTGATAAAGTTCAGCATAGAGCCATGCTCCACTTGCATGATGACATATTTATCAATGCACAAAGAATGGTCACAATACTAAAGTAAAGGACATTTTTTTCCAGTTTTGGATAGAGTGGAGAGGGGTTAGAATGCTTGTCAGGTTTTATTGCTGTCTGTGTCCCCATTATGGAGATTCATTCTCTCTACTTGTCCTATTTACCATTATCATTGACAGTGAAAGTAAAAGAAAATCACATATTTTGGGTTATCCATAGAAAAGTAATAAAGGGGAAATCTCCCAATGGGGACACTGATTCTGGTGACCTCTAAGGAATTCCCTTCATTAGCGAAGAATTTACTCCCACTTCCTGTTTGGCTATGGTACAGGAAGTAAAGGGAAATCTTTGCAATGGGACACAGATGGCGAAAAAAATCTGGCAGAGGTTATAAAACTCCCTTCCTCTATCCAAAATGTAAAAAAAAAAAGTTTTGCCTATAGTTCTATGGGGCACTATTCAACCCACTAACGGGGCACTATTCCTCCCACTAATTCTAATGATGGGGCACTATTCCTCCCACTAATACCAATGATGGGGCACTATTCCTCCTAGCAATTTCAGTGATGGGGCACTATTCCTCCAACTGTTATTATTATTATATACAGGATTTAATATTATTATTATACAGGATTTATATAGCGCCAACAGTTTGCGCAGCGCTTTACAATACCAACGAGACAGTAAAATTACAATACATTTCAGTGTAGAAGCAATATGAGGGCCCTGCTCGTGGAGCTTACAATCTAAAGGAAGGGGGAGGTGGTACAAAAGGTGATAGCTGTGGAGGATGATCTGGTGGAGGTGATTCAAGTATAGTTCTTAGGTGGAGGTGGGGTAGGCTTCCCTGAAGAAGTGAGTTTTCAAAGATCGCCTAAAGGCAGACAGGGAGGGGGCTGACTGGACATGCTGTGGAAGAAAGTTCCAGAGGATGGGAGAGGCTCTGGAGAAGTCCTGGAGGCGAGCGTGGGAGGAGGTGATGAGGGAGCTAGAGAGGAAGATATCTTGGGAGGAGTGGAGTGGCCGATTTGGACGATATCTGCGCATGAGGTTGGCGATGTAGCTAGGGGCAGTGTTGTGGATGGCTTTGTAAGCTGTTGTTAGTATTTTGAATTTTATACGTTGGGTTAGTAGAAGCCAGTGAAGGGATTGGCAGAGAGGGGCAGCAGTTGCTGATTGTTTGGTAAGGTGTATGAGTCTAGCAGCAGCATTCATAATAGACTGAAGGGGGGATAGCCTGTGTAATGGTAGACCAGTGAGGAGGGAGTTGCAGTAATCAAGGCGGGATATAACCAAGGCGTGGATAAGTTGTTTTGTGTTGTCATTGGTCAGAAAGGGGCAGATTTTGGAAATGTTGAGGCGGCGCAGGATTTAGCCAGTGATTACGGGCTAGGATTACGCCTATCACCCTGGTATGAGGGGAAGGACCAATGGTTGTGCTATTGATCTTAATGGTAAAGTCGTGAGTGGAGGATCAGGGAGGAGGAAAAATTACAAGCTCGGTTTTGGAAAGATTGAGTTCAAGGTAGTGATGTGACATCCATGCTGATATGTCGCTTAGTAGATTTGTGATATGTGAGGAGATTGAGGGGGTGAGCTGGGGAGCGGAGAGATAGATCTGGGTGTCATCAGCATAGAGGTGGTATTGGAAGCCATGGGAGGTTATCAGTTGGCCCAGGGAGGAGGTATAGAGAGAGAAAAGGAGGGGTCCAAGGACAGAACCTTGGGGTACCCGAACAGAAAGAGGAAGAGGAGCGGAGGAGGAGTTGTATGTGACACCGAAATTGCGCTGAGAAAGGTAAGAGGAGAACCAGGAGAGAGCAGAGTCATGGAGGCCGATGGAGTGGAGTTTACTGAGGAGGAGCGGGTGGTAGACTGTGTCAAAGGCAGCGGGAAGATCAAGAAGTATGAGTATGGAGTAATTTCAATTGGTTTTAGCAGTTAGTAGGTCATTAGTGAGTTTTAGTAGGGCAGTTTCTGTGGAATGTTGTGGGTGGAAGCCAGACTGTTGGGGATCAAAAAGGTTGTTGTCGGTGAGGTAGCTGTTCATATGGTTGTGAACAAGGCGCTCGAGAAGCTTGGAGGCAAAGGGGAGCAGAGATATGGGTCTTAAGTTATTCAAACAGGTGGGGTCCAGCTAGGGTTTTTTGAGAATGAGGGTAACCAGTGCATGTTTGAGTGGGGAGGGAAAGGTGCCCATGGAGAGTGAGAGGTTGAAGATGTGGGTTTAGGATAGAGCAGGAAGGAGGCTGCAACAGTCATGAGGGGACAGGATCCAGGGAACAGGTGGTGAAGTATGAACCTGATTTCTATGGTATTTTGATATTACCATAGTAATAATATGTGTGTGAGAAAATAGGAAGGAATAAAAAGCAGAAACAGACATAATGGCACACGCAAAAAACATGGCCAGTAGCCATACATACCAATGAAATGATTGTTTCCAAGAGACAGCATTTCTTCTGGAAAGACAAGGCCTCCCGGAGCCTGCAGTAGAGTGACACTCCGTCCGTCTATAAGTGAACACTGGCTGAAGCCTACAGCTGTCACTTTCCATAGCAGAATAAGCAAAGCAGTAGCATCCTGGGAGATTCTAGGGATCCAAGAATACAAGAAGGTATCAGCTTGTCACATCTAATCATCAGATAAAAAGTTTGCAAGAATGCTGACAAATTGGATGAATTTCACTCCAGGCATACAGCATACAAACAAGATAATGACATATTTTAATGCGATACACCTATGCTTCTTATTATTTTAATATGTTAAAAATGTAAATGCAATTAAAATACAAAAATCGTACTAGAGTCTTCTCAGGGGGTGATCTGTTCTTCTGCACAAGAAAGGATAACACAGAAGCAGCGGGGGGCAAGCAGTAGTTATGTTAAAGTGTATTTAATATAATGACGTTTACCAATCCCTAGATGAAGTGGCTGCATTAGCTGTCATTTTTCAGGACTTTTCACCTGATAATCTTGCAAATAAAACACTTCTTGTCCATGGGTGGTTATGTTAACTCCTCAACTAAATCTATATAGGGAGTTGTGACTGCCACCTACACTGCACTTCAAACACGTCTGCCTTTCTTCATCTACAAGAAATGGGGCATGGGAGATTACCCATTTATAGAAGGAAAATTACTTTTTTTTTTATTCCAAAAGTTCTGCTTACTGGAAGGAACACTATATTTTCTGGCTAGATCAACTGGTAATTTTTATACTTGCTGAAAACGATGTGAAAAAAAAAAAAATTAAAGCAGCAACGTTATGTGAGTCATCCCGATGTGATGACCATGAAGCAGTATACAGAGTTTCAATGATCACTGCTGCTTTGCTACCACCTACATTTTTGGACATTTGTATCTAACGTGAAGTCATAAATTTGAGGATTGTTTATATTGGCCCTTTCCCTTTTTACCATGGAGCCTGCTGTGGGAATATCTTTGATACCAGAAGATATCATACAAGTGCTTTTTGACCACTCTTTTAAGATGGTCATTGGCAGCTGGTAAGCGTGTACCCCATTATCACTTTGGATGGCAGTTTTGAGTGTCGGTACTTTATGTTATTAGGAAGGAACAAACTTTCTGTATATTAGCACTTGCTAACGCTTGGATGGGACTTTTTATATGAACCTTGTTTCACCTACTTAGTACTTTTTCATATGGTTTTATGTCTGTATACATCTATATATTTTGAACACTTGCAACACTAATTTGGGTTGAGTGTGACACATTTTTTTGTTTTGTCCCACCCCTGGGGCTTAATCATGGAGGTCCATGATTACGCTCCAGGGGCAGGGCCGTCTTTAACGTGGGACAAAAGGGTTAGATGCCCAGGGCCCAGTCATTGTTGTGGGGCCCGAAGCAGCTGCCCCATGAGCCCACGCTGCCTGCCAGGGTTTTTTTTCAGCCTAATTCTGCCACCTTGGGAACTGCTCTCTTCTGTATTTACAAGTGACAGCTTGTAAGGAGCTCTCCCGGCGGCCGCTCAGAAACCTCCCTGCTCTACACATCGATCTCCATAGGAAAGCAGAGGAGGGAGGGGGCGGGGACTCCACACAGGCAGAAGCTCCTCCTCACTGACAGCCTGCATGGACACACTGTAAGTATTCCTCTGTAGTTGTGTGTGTCTGAGTGTGTGTGTGTGTATCTGTTTGTGTGTGTATGTATGTGTGTTTCTACATGTGTGTATGTGTGTTTCTGATTGTATGTGTGTGCCTGTGTTTGCCTAGGGTCCAATCAATATTAAAGACGGCCCTGCTCGGGGGTGGGGCATAACATGTTGGAGACATGGTTTGGATGAATCGAACTGAGGCTGCTTTCACCTGCTTACCACTCGGGCCGGGTGAGGTGTGTGGCGGCAGGGCAACCTCTTCTATTTTTGCAGCATGCTTTGGGTCTGGATGGACCTTTTCTCAGCCTGCACCCTCACTGGTCAGTGGCATCCAATTCACTGGACCTTGACAGCCTGAGCGGGGACCCTTAAGCATTTATTATGGGTTACATATATATAGTTACATAGTTAATCTGGTTGAAAAAGACACAAGTCCATCCGGTTCAACCAACAGAGAAAGCAAAAAAAAAGGCACACACAAACAGAAAACCTCTATATACACAATCCTGTACCCACAGTGATCCAGAGGAAGGAAAAAAAAACAATAAAACATGATTCCATTTGCTCCAGCAGGGGGACAAAAATACCTTCCTGATCCCCCAAGAGGCAACCAGATATTCCTTGGACCATCTTTACCTATACATATTAGTATCCAGTTATATTACATTCATTTAGGAAAGAATCCAGGCCTTTTTTAAAACAATCTACTGAGCTAGCCAGAACCAGCCCTTGAGGGAGTCTATTCCACATTGCTCTTACTGTGCTGTGAGGTTCCAGTACCTCCCGAATCTAAAGCTGTTTAGAGACTGGCAGATGTTGAAAACAACAGGAGATGAGACATCTGTTAGCCTCACTTGGATCACCAGAACATGCTGATTATGCTGATCAAGTGCAGGCATGAAGAAAGCTTTGTTCCTTCTTCTCCATAAGAAAGGTAAAGAATGTCTCTGCAGATGACATCCAAATCATGGAAGAACCATGTCTCCAAGTCAACAGTATATATCCTTTCAGTTCACTAAAGTGAAAGATGATGATGATTTCTGATTGATTGTTTTGTATTACTGACCTTTGCATGTTACCATTGCCTTTTGGACAGCTTTACCTAATGATCTGTGTGAGTTTACCAACTGCTGGCAATTTGAAAGGCTATGTCCAGCTTCAGCAGTTCATATCTAACATGCTGGGCAAACATACTGCTCATGTTACTCAAACTAGTCCATAGCATGCGGTGCATACTCGCACATTATGACATTACCTGTGCTGTACAATTTTTTTCTTCTTTATGTGTTTACTACCACTTTAAAATGTGTGTAGCACCCTCATAGTCAGGCTGCTAGTGTTATAAGTAAATTTAGTTTGGGCTTCCCTTTAGCCAGGGTGATCATTTGCTTTTGTCTGTTCTAGGTTCTGCTGGTACATGCTCAACTACTTTCCCCTACATCCCAATGCATTATGGGATATAGTGGGTGGGAGAGTCTGACCCTGGTCTACATATTCATGCACTCTCAGCGAATCCCTGGCCAACAGAGTGAGTGTCTAGCAGGGGGCTAAGTGGGGTATAAATAGTCTGGGGCCTAGAACAGCAGTCTCTTGTTCCTGGGGAAGTAAGACCCAGCCTAAGGGCTGTGGCACCCCTGAGCTGCAAGCAACACCACTGAAGAATTTCTTTTGAAGTCCCAGCCCCAGTTAGACCTCAGGGACCTCTGCCTAGATTAACCTGAGGCAGTGCAGAAAGCTCCAGAAAGGGATGTAAGCCGCAAGCACCAAGTACAGAGACTGGTTCGTACTACAGGAGACATTACAGTACCCAGGGCACAGTGGGTAATAGCCTAAAGGATCCCAGAGACTTTTCTTGCCACCTTTGGGAGAGCATATTACAGTTTATTCAGGATTAGTCCTCATGCACACTGGATGTTTTTACAGCTGCTGTTTTTTGGCTTTTGACTTTTTTTTCTACAGCCAGTAAACCCCCCAGAATGTTATCATATGGGTCCATGCACACATAGACTGTAATAAACGTTTTTTTTGGCAGGGACGTTTTTTGGCTGGGGAAAAAAACCCAGGACTAGTGGGTTTCTAGAGGAGATTTGTATCTGTAAAAAAGCTAATGCTGAAAAATGCAGTAAAACGCCACAAACCAGGCGTTTTTGGACTTTTTTTTAACAAAAAAAATATCTGGGGGGTAAAAAAAACGCTAAAAACCTCAAACGCGTAAAAACATGGGAAAACACTGCTAAACACGGCAAAATGCAGTTAAAAGCTAATGCAAAACGCTAAAAAAGCTGAAAAACTCTTTACACAGCTAACATTACCAGCATTATCAAAACACCCCGTGTGCATGGACCCTTATACTCCTGTTGAGGAGTCTTTGCATTAACGTTCATTTAACCTTCATATTTAAGAGGGTGGTTACACCCTGAAGAAGCAGATCAGCTTTAGTGTCCTCATCTTTGCTAATTGTTCTTTTGGAACACCCCGAGGCTTACCATCACCCCATCCAAGTTGAACTGGCAAATAAACTGCAGAAACATGCAAGGACTGTTTTCTGATTTGAGTGACTTTTACCTTGGGTGTGCCTCGTTGCCATGTGCCTATCAGGGAATGGAACCCGGGATCAAACAGCCAGCCCGGTCTGGGGTCTGTGTTACATGTGTCTTTTTATATCTATCTGGAGTTCAGCTTTAACACATAAACGTTGTATATCAAAACTTACTTCACTGACGTGTTCTCTGGAACTTCAAATGTCACCAGCCGCCCACCTGAGGAGGTATTAGAACTGGCATTTCCACATGCAACGTCTGCAATCACCTGCAATGACAAGAAAATAAAACCATTATAAAGCTATTTTTATGGACATTACGCCCACCCAAGCAAAACGTCATATAATATAACAGCTGCCTATAGCAACTCAAGAAATCATTTCAAGATGAAATGCAGAAAAGGAAACCCTTAGTTCTTGTCTGCAGCATGAATCATACTGCAACTAAAATTTCAAGATGGAAGTAAGAAAATAAAAGCAAGTGTCTGAATTGTTAACAGCCCATCATCCTTCACCCTTATCCTGAAATTTGCACAACAGACACATTTACAATCTGACCACTTTGAGCTGACCTTTCAGTAATTCTGTGAAGGAATAAGTTCTTGACATATCACAATAAACAACTGAACCTGACAGCTGTCACTTTCCATAGAGGAATAGGCAGGAAGTACAACCTAGCATCCTGACAGATTCCAGGTAAACAGTATCATTTTTCAAAAAAAGCTCCACCTTCTATCATTAAAACACCAGTATTGACCACCAGTTCAGTGACTTTGCCTAGGCTGAGGTGATGTCATTACTCTGCTGCAGGCAGGAAAAAGCATCACCTCAGTCTTTTCTCTTCCATTTACAGACAAACATTTGTAAACATAACCAAGAAGGCATCAGAATGTACATGGCTGTGTCATCTCTGAGACAACATCTCATGCCAGGAAGTTGATACTGACCCTGCATGAAGCCTGAACAGAGGTGACAAAATCCTGGAAAACAAATCAGATGAAAGAATTATCGGGGGGGGGGGGGACTAGAGTGATTACTGTGAGAGGTAATACATACCTGGAAGTGTTACACTTGACACACTATTTAGCATGCTTGCACTTAACATAAAATATACCTGATGTCAGGTCCACTTTAAGGCAAATCATGGGCTGACAGATCTTTAACAGCTTTGAAGATACGTATATACTAGTACAAAGACATTCTCTAGAACTCAACTCAGATAGCCCATTTGGGACCTAATTAAAAAGCTTCTCTAGCATTATGATAAAACAGAAGTCTCAGTTGCAGATGTATTGCTTTTTCCACATGTACCTTCCTTGCTAATTATAATTTGATGAACTGCTTGCCAATCACAAGAGAAATTTCATCAAACAAGTGTAACGCCACCCCCATAGGAGCCACTGATTAGGATGGGCCCTCTGTTCTTTGCATCAACATTTTCCAAAAAGCCTCATTGTCTATAACAAACCAGGTTGATTGTACAAACAAACAATATCACAGGAAATCACTGAAGGTAATACTTAGTACCAAACGAGGTAGCAAAGGCAAACTTAATATACTGTCACCCAATATGTAGAATAGAATAAAAATTGTAAACGAGCGCTGGGTAGAGCAAATGATGGTAAATGATAAGAAGCTGCTAGCATAAAAGGCAAGACCTCAAAAACCTCCTCCTAAAATATATAAACGTAAAATATGCAGCGCTAAGAGTTAAATATTAAGATAGATGATAAAATGTACATAATATACATGTGCAAAAAAGGCAAAATGACTTGGTGATGAAACCAGTAATGTGTAGCTATAACCAAAGTCCTGAAGATAAGGTGCATATAGTGACAATGGTGCCAAAGTCAGTCTATCCCGTGGTGTCAGACAATATTAAAAAACACAATCCGTGACATCTGTGGCTGGAAAAGTAAATGTTGATTGCACTAACCAGATGCAGTGCAATGTATTGCGCATTGGAGTAAATAGGACCTACTCCTGGTCGTCTGGATCTGGAACACTGCAACGTGAATGATCACCAGGTCAACAGTATCCAGGTACTATGCGTCCAATGATAGAAAGCTCGTCTCCAGGTATTCCGTCGCCAGCCACCAGAGGGATGGTATACGCTCTCATATGCCAGGAATCACCTTAAGGGAGGGGCTCGCAGGACAAAACAAGCCCAAAAGAGAAGTCTCTGATAGTGTAGTATTTTATTAAAATGTAATATAAAGACAGGTAAACAACTTACATAAAATTCCAAGATGGCCAGCGGTCAGTCAAAGGGACCGTGCGGGCTAAGGTCATTGTGTAGGAGCACCTCCCTAACGCATTTCACGTGAATACACTTTTTCAAAGGGAGTGTGCCTACTAATGAAGCCTCCTATTTATAGTGAGTGGTGTTCCTAGTCTGTATGACGCATTGGCATCATTTAAATCTTACTGCGCATGCGCGGGATGCTGTATGATGCTATTGCGCCATTTAGATGCTACTGCGCATGCACGGGATGAATACTGTGCCGTGTGATGTTCCTGCATCATCGCGGGCCTCTCGCGCATGCGCAGTATGTGCGCGGTGGCCATTTTGCAACATTCACTATAAATAGGAGGCTTCAATAGTAGACACACTCCCTTTGAAAAAGTGTATTCACACGAAACACGTTAGGGTGGTGCTCCTACACAGTGAACTTAGCCTGCACGGTCCCTTTGACTGACCGGTGACCATCTTGGAATTTTATGTAAGTTGTTTACCTGTCTTTATATTACATTTTAATAAAACACTACACTATCGGAGACTTCTCTTTTGGGCTTGTTTTGTCCTGCGAGCCCCTCCCTTAAGGTGATTCCTGGCATATGAGAGCGTATAACATCCCTCTGAAGGCTGACGACGGAATACCTGGAGACGAGCTTTCTATCATTGGACACATAGTACCTGGATGCTGTTGACCTGGTGATCATTCACGTTGCAGTGTTCCAGATCCAAACGACCAGGAGTAGGTCCTATTTACTCCAATGCACAATAAATTGCACTATCTGGTTAGTGCAATCAACATTTACTTTTCCAGCCACAGATGTCACGGATTGTGTTCCTTAATATTGTCTGACACCACGGGATAGACTGACTTTGGCACCATTATCACTATATGCACCTTATCTTCAGGACTTTGGTTATAGCTACACATTACTGGTTTCATCACCAAGTCATTTTGCCTTTTTTTTGCACATGTATATTATGTACATTTTATCATCTATCTTAATATTTAACTCTTAGCGCTGCATATTTTACATTTATATATGTCAGCCAATATGATTGGGAAATAGGCAAGCATGGATTAACAATAGTAATACCACAATTTATATAATTAACAGTAGGGCTACGTATATGATGATATTGGGCATCCAGGCAAGCTAAAAGACCACCTTAAACAGCAGTGGATAGTAAAGTTTAATCTATTGATAGTATACTGCACAGATGTTATTTATGGAGGCTTTGCTATTTCTAGATCGACTGTGTAGGCACAGTCCAAAAGAAAAGGAGAATGGTAAGGGGAGCACGGAACATAAGATGCAGAATATTTCTGGCAAGGGCAGTCCTTTGAGATGTTCTTCTGCCGGATAACAATGTGGCCCTTTAAGAGTGTCGGGTAAATAGCACAAAGCACAGTACAGAAAACCTGCATGCAGTGTAGCAGTATAGGTTAGGTATAGTAAAGTTTTGGCATAATGTGGTATAGGTGCAGTCTAGGTTTGGAATAAGTGTGGTATATTACAGTTGGGTATACTTGATGTCCTGCTCTCACCCAGTCCCTGCTAACAGTATCAGAACTGGGTGAATAGCCTTCTCACCAATTCACCAGATGTGTATCTTATGGATCAGCAGGCTTTGTGGCCAAAATTATTCATTTTTTCGGCCAGTTTGACATTGCTTTTGTAGGTCATCATCTTGCTTACATTCCAAAGAGGCAAGAGAATTATGGTAGTTAGGAAGGTGCTCACAGCATTATCAGTTTTAACAAAAGGAACATTCAATCTTAGTACTTAGTACAGATCCTTTTACAGTTATAACAGCTTTTAAAACGTGAAGCATAGCTTGACACAAGTGTCTTGCAGCGATTTACGGGTATCTTCGCCCAGATGGGCAAAGTTCAGTCACATTCTTAGGCTTGCGCACTGCTTGCTTCTTTAAGTCCCACCAGAGGTTCTCAATCGGATTTAAGTCTGGTGACTGCATGGCCACTCCAAAATGGCCTCTGCAACCATGCTCTAGTGGACTTGGAGTGTGCTTGGGATCATTGTCCTGTTGAAAGGTCCAACGTCTCCCAAAGCCTCAGGACTGCATCACGTTTCCAAAATATCTCCCTGGTACTGAAGAGAATTCTGGTACCTGCACACGCTGAAGTGTAGGATTGACAGTATGCTTCAGTAGGCAAGTTTCTTTTCATCATAGTTGTTCTTCCTCCTCCAAACATAGCGTTGATCCATGGGCCCAGCACAGTTCTAATTTTTGTTTCATCAGTCCACAGAACACTATCCCACAACTTTTGTGGTTTGTCCACATGGCTTTTGGCATACTGCAGTCGACAGACAGCAAGGGGGTACGCCTGGGAGTTCTGGCACGGAGGCCTTCATTACGCAGTGTGCGTCTTATTGTCTGGGCTGAAACTTCTGTACCCACATCTGTCAAATCTTTTCTCAGTTCCTCAGCAGTCACACACGGGGACTGGAATAAGTAGCGTGGTAAGTAGCAGTTTCTGCCACGACCAGGTACGTTTCAACAGTGCCCTGCCTTGAATTTGCGAATGATGCTTCCTAAGGTGTCTCTGGTATGGAATCTTCTGGTGATATCACCTCTTTCTTGTCTTCCTGGACCATTCTCTTGCCTTCACCATGTTTGTAACCACACCAGTAAATGTCTAGAAGGAGCTGAGTATCACAGTCATTTTAAAGCTGCCTAATTGGTGCTTATTATGCTTGATTGCTGCTCGGTGACATCCACAGGTGTTTTCAATACCTGATGGAAAGCACCTGTATGAACCTCTGTTCTTCAGAGTGGTAGTCTTTAAGGGGTTGAATAATTGTCACAGAAGAAACCACATAAGAACCATTTACTACTGTATTACATAAACAAGTTGCATTTGATCAACGTCTCTCTCTTTGATTCTGAATACAATTCCAAATGTACACTATAGTCCCTAAACCCCTCAGGCCACAGGAAACTGTAGATGGTGAGAGAATGGTCCCTTCTCCCTGTGGCGACTATGTAAATATGGTTGATGTGGTCCGT